CAACGCGGACGGCAGTCAGAAGTAGTCGTCAATAACACTTTTAACCCGATCCAGTTTATTCTTGACGCATCGTAAACCACCATGGTAAAAGTTTTTCCACAAAACTTATTAATATGATAACACGCGTTTTACGGAAATTCTACTGAGATACAAAACTTAATGTTCCGGCCGTTACAATTCAACTTAAATCACGACGTGAAAACATATGCCGCTAAAAATAACCAAGTTCACCTCGAGTGTTCACAAGGGAATCCACATGAAAGATCACAAATAACAAAAATAATTACGTGACGAAGACACCATTTTGAAAGGGGTAAACACATTTCATTTATATACCCTATGACAACACCCGTATGTGATCAAATTTTTCATCACACCTCTAAGGTCCAGAGAATCCAAGAAAAAAATACCGACTTAATTGCGTGGGACAACAACGATAGTATTTTGCGGGTTTAGAGCAAAACGTTAAAAACAGTTATAATTTATTTGTGAATTTATTAAACATGTTGTAATCTATATAAGCTTTGAAAACAAGTGTATTAACTAGATAAAAAAGGTAATGACAGGCAATCGTTTTTAAAATTGAATTTGACGTTTGAAATATTGAGCCGTGTGTAAAATAATCTTCTTTTTTCTGTTAAAATCTTGTTACGAAAAATACCTTTTTATCTTAGTGGTTTAATACTATGTTTTATTTTCGTCGTTTATGAAATCCGAGATAAAAAAAATAAACGATATTATTATTATTTAGTTGAAATTTTGTAATAAAATGGTAATTCTATTAGACTGCAGCGACATTTTATTGTAAATATTGCTAGAAATCATATTATACATTTTTTCACGGGTTAAAAATCTTAAAATTGCAAATAAATTAACAATGATCAATAAATAATTTAAATTCAAAATTGTTGAATTTTGAGGTTTTGGATACATTATATATTACTAAAGTATATATTACGATATTACTAAAGAGTAACGAAAAATAAGTCACCACTAGAGTCTCCTAGGTAAAAACATTTATTTTACCAAGTTACCAGTAAATTGTAGAAGCCAAGTTCAAAATATCAAACCCAGATGTGCATAGAAAAAAAGGATGTCTTTAAAATGTTTAATAAAACATACAACAATGTTATACGAAACATACGTATCCATGGCAACTTATGGCGCTGTAGGTTTAAAATGCGTTATGTTCAGTTTTGAGCACGTATGTGTTGTAGGATTGTTCAAAAATCGATTTAAAAACATGTAATATTTTTTTTAAACTCATTGTACTATTTTTTTTTATGAAACGTACTTTTTGAAAATCATCCTAATTGTGTACATAATGTTTAAGGAACTAAAGTTTTAATCAAGTCCAAGCTTAAAACAGTAAGTACATAAGCTGCTCTAAAAGTGATATAACAAACTACTACCGAAATTCTTAGACATATTAGCAAGATTCAAGATGAATTTTATTTAAAAAGTTATTATTGATTTAATTAAGTAACTATTCATAAGTAGATACTTTCTTTTTTATAGTATAACTCGGAAAAGTAAAAGTTCATTTTTTAATTGCTACTATTCAAAAGCTAATATGTCAACTTCCAAATATAACATTATATCAAATAATGAAAGTCAATATTTTTTCAGAGCTAAAATGGAATTTTTCCTATGAAATCAACTTTATAGCTCGTAACAAAATACACCCTTATAAATATTTGTGAAAAATTAACTAAAAATTAACATTGCTAACACTGATGGTGTACACAATTCATAAAATACAAATACATTAATATTTTACAATTTTCACTGTTATTATAATGGTCGGCCGTAAAACAAGGGGGATAAGTAAAATTAATATTAAGCAGAAACTGTATTTAACATTTATAAGTAGTGAACACTGTTAAGTGAAAACACAATGAAAAACGTTCTATGGTAATACTGGAAAAGATTTTTCAATTACTTTAAGAATAAACGATAGACATTAGCTTATTGACTGCAACAAGGATAAAAACACAAGTCACTTTTATGTATTGTTGTTTTTTTGTACAAAACCCCAGGGTAACGTCTGTCCAAGGTACACAAAACCCGAAGCTACCGCAGCAAGAAAGGAAAACACGTGGGTGATTATTTATACTTCACCGCATCCTTAAAGAACCATCGTCTCAGAGATAGCAAATAATTTGACACATTTCACTATGGTGGTTATTAATTATAGCATAAACATCATCGTCACACGCGGCCCATACGAACAATTAAAACACTGTTAGCTTTTTGAATTACTGATGAATCGCGTGTACGAGCGTGACGTTCTCAAAGTACTTAAGCTGCGTACCACAACAACAGCTATACGGTCTTGTACAAATAGTATCATTCCATTTAAATCAAAATAAATAATGATTTGTACAAAAACAAAATTGGATTCGTTTAAATATATAAATAAAAAAACTTTGAGAGCTTTTCGAATATTTTGAATCTTTTAACGTAAAAAAGCTATTTTAGTCTACACTCTCATTATTGAAGCAATGCCAAAATAATGAAATTATACGTCATAACTCAACAAATGGCTGATAAAATGTTAAATTATAATATTTTATATTAGTGATTGTTATGAAGAAAATTATTTAATATACAGTAACAATATACAATTGTATAAAAAAATAAACTTATATTTATATTTTGTGTAAGGCCAAAGTTTATAAACGGATTATTATACTGGAATGATATCAAATAATAACAAATTATACTGCTCAATCGTTATAAATAGATAAATGTCATAAATCGTTGTTGCGTAGAATAATATTTGATTTAAATGTCAAACATTGAATTGTTTATAAAATTTTGCAACTCCATATAACATAGCAGTTATAGTAATTATAATTGTTAAAAAACCAAAAATTATTAGTGGTTTTGTAGAAATTATGTTAATAAAACTTTTGTTTACTTGTGCTCACTGGGTATTCAACCATATATAATTTATAAATTTAATTAAAGATCCTAATCTTAAAGAATTCATATTTATTTATATTATTAATGTTAATTCACTGTTTCAGGAAGTTACCTTATGTTTTATTAGAAATTCTCAGACATTTTAGCATACTCATTAACTTATATGACAATATTTTTTGTTAGAAGTTAATTATACGCTTAGTAAAATATTTTTTACGTTAAATATTCCATTAAAAAACTTATGTAGATATTTTTTTTATCCTCGAAAACTTTACCATTTTCAGATGGTTTGGACCTCGAATATTATATTGGTGTATTTCATTTTTATAAAGTTCTTAATGTGAAATTTTAATAAAAATTTAGAAACTATTTCTACATTTTATCATCAAAGTAAATAATAAATTTATATAAAATTATTGTTCTATTCAATCCATTTATAGTTTATTATCTAAATCAATTATTACAATAGAATTTTTGAAGTTCTTTAGAAATCAACACTGGATAAGTAAAAAAAATATCGGTTAAATTATCTAATGTGTTAAGATTAGATGTAATTGTTATCAGTTAAGCTATTGAGTTATTCGAGTACAGTTTAATTATTTACAAGAATAAAATTAAATGTTACAGTTGTATTGTAGTGATGTAATTAAATGTAAATGTACCTTATATTTTAATTACAATACACTCACGTTATGATTATATTGTCTCGAAATACCGGTTTATTAATTAACCAAAGTATTAATTAGCTAAATTTTTATTACATTGAAAATAATTTCGAAAATAATATATCATACAATAATAGATTATTAAGAAATAGACCTTTTTATGGAAAATAATTAAGTATAACTATCAAATGTTTTAACCTAAAATTTTATTACAGTTACTGCGAGAAACTTTGTTTAGTATCTATTACTAATAGAAATTTATTTTGGAATGATTACAACAAAATTAACATTTACAGCTGAATGATCCATCAAAGTAGAGTGACAACTTACTCCAATAAAAACTATGGAAATTTCCACAACTACCATGTGCACATTTAAAATTTTTACTACACACACACCTTTTATGTCTCACATAGTATCAAAAAATACAGATATCTAAATAGTAATTAATATGAATCATTATATAGAATTTATACAAATTAAAAATGCCATGACGCTTGTGATAACATGCACATAATAAAGATGTTTATAATATTTAATATAAAACAAATTTTGTACGATTATAAAAAAATCTACCTACTACTAAATAAACATTTATCAAATCGTATATAAGTTCAACTTTTTAACGAGTTAATATTCATAGTGTTATTATCTCTTTGAAATTTTAAAATAGCAATTGTTGAAAATACCACTCTTAATTAAGATAATTTTTATATCATATAAATAATTATGACACGTCGTAAAAATTATTCAATTTTTGGCGTTATTTTAGTTTACAAAATGTCTTTCTTATTCAGCTCAACCTCCAGAGAAAGTATTAATTAAAAAAATATATTACAGTTGAAAATGATACCTCAACGTCGTTTATATAAAATTTGTCCAAAACTAGATTCGTTGCGAAAAACTGACAACTTCCAAAAACTGTAATATTTCATGTATAATAAAAATAAGAAAAAACAAGGTGCATAATGTTATGCAATTTGGTTGGCTCTAATCTCGGTGTCTGATGAAAATACTAATCAATTACGTTGGGATGTCACCCAATAATGAAGTTGAGTTATAATATTTGGAAATACAAATTCCGTGTGTTATTAACGTTCACAAAATGGACGTACGCGACGAATGAAATTTTTTAATAACACTACTATTGCGGTGTCGAGATATCGAATACTAACGTATTATGCATAATTTCCGGACGAGGCTCAAGTCCACAGTTTGTTCATGACGAACAAACGCAGCCTCTTTGCTTACTAAACAAACACAAGTTCGTATTGGATGCACGATGAGAATTCGTTTTCTTAATTAACCACAATATTATTAGCGTTTCTAATGTGAGCGTTTGTAAGATTAACGGACTGGGCGACACACTTTCCTTCGGAAGGGTTTATAATTAAAGACATTGTTTACCTTTTCGTTTCGAATTATGTACGCGTATACTACAACAAACACTTGTACAAATAGTAAAACTTAAAAAAATTCTCTTTCGCTCGCCGATCCCAAACAGCTGCTGCGGAAAAGAGATATCCAGCGCGTTCAGGATCTGTTAACGCGGAACACTATCAATGCGGCGGACACGGGGAAATCACATTTATTTACAAAAAAACTAAGTACACACCTACACACAGGAGCCGCGCGTTAACCGACTTTCCATACTACAGGACCGTTGCGACGGTGTGTAACGCGAAGAGCACCGCCGACTGTGCCGATCGCCGCCGCCGCTGCTAACAGCGCGATGACGTCACGGACCTGTGCAACGGGAACAGACGCACTTTGGGCACCCGACGGTCCCTTTCCCTTATCATAAACTCTTTTAATTGTGCTCATTTAAACATGTCTGTCAGATTTTTAACGACTATTGATGTTTTCGTTGAAAAACCATTGCTAATTTTCGGCCCTTCGTCTTAATTGTAGGCGGCGTGTTAAAATGTTTTCGTCTACAGTAAAGGTTTACGCAGTTAATCCGTGACAAGTGAAACACAACAACCGTATAATTGTGTACAGTAGTAGCCAAACTTAATTAAACTTCCAACGCGACTGTTCGTTTTTCTCTCGTTATTTTATTTTATTTCTCACTTTTCTGCTCGATAATCTTGGCATTTTTTTTTTCCTTTTCTAGCTGTAATTCCATCAATTTCCAAGTGTAGAGAAACATATCCTTACACGTTCCCAGTCTCAGATCATACTGACAGTATCAGAGGATTTGCTATTTTTTACATTTATCAAATGGACACGAACACACGAATAAAAATTATTCGAATACATAATCACATACAGAAATTTGAGTTCCTTTCACAAATTAAAACTCCTTGTGTTAATTTTCGGAAAAATTTTTGTATAAATTTACTACAATTCGAGTGAATTTACCATGAACATTAATATGTAATCAAGTGAGCACATTAAATAAAAATAATTATAACGATTATTTTAGTTTGTTGAGATTACGACAAGAACTATCGCATTTAAAAATTACAACAAAACCATATTTCATATAACACTAACTGTTAATAATTTGAAGCTGATAAATTAGCCCCAGTAAAACTTTACAAGTTTCTAAAGTTTGAAAATGTTTTGACAATTTAAAATCATGAATAATTGAATTAAGTATATTAAAATGCATTAATGTATTTTAAATATATAAATTTACTAAAACAAAAGGTATTTTTCAATAAAACTTACCGTAAACAATATTTAAAAGAAAAATGTGGTTTGAAGTGGGCTAGATTTAAAAGACACTATTCTACAATAAAGACGGTAATTTAAGTTTTATTAGTTCAATATAAAATTTAATAAAAACTAAATAGCCTTTTACGAAAATCCTCAGTATTACCTGTGATATTTTATGATATTTTCAGATTCTATTTGTAATCTCTATGAAAAACATAAAATTTTATTTTTTATAGAAAAATAAAATAATTTAAGATTTGAAAATAAATGTTATGAATAAATTAGTGGTAATACTAGATTTTAAGGATAGTTAGTTCGGTAAACATCTCAATTACAACACACCAATACTATTCAATCACCTAGCCACAATTGACTAAGCGGATAGGTAACCACTTGAACGGGCTTTTACATATTTCAAACTTCATATCTATTTAGTTAGTGTCTGTAAATGATGGAAACCAAACTTGGCAAACATGTGACCCGTCGGTAAATAAGTTATGTGAATGTAAATAATATATTTTAGTTATATATTCTCTACAATATTGAATTTTAATAAATGAATATAGCCTATCGTCGATAAATATCAAGAACTCAATAAATAAATTTAATGAAAGAATGTAAAACATATTAAAATGGTTTCAAATCAGTAACACAAAAACAGTATCCGACATAGAGTGCATCGTCTTTGAAATTTATTCATATTCTTCACAATTAATGTTTTATCACTAGTAGATTATTATTATTATTATTTGTAATTCGAATAAAAATTTTTTTTAAATCTAAATCAGTAGAGTGCGCATATTTTTAAAACTTTAATAACTGATAAACAAACGTTGATGTGTATAAAAGTGTTGATGCTTATAATTTGTTGTTATAGTTTCAGTATTATGCGTGGTCATGTTCTTGAAGTAAAAACACGATATATTAGACATTAGTGTGTCATTACCTAATAGAAGCCAAAAAATAATAACATTTTTTCATGTCACTTGAAGAACTTGTAAGTCTAAACATAGGCCAACTTTTTTAACTATATAATATCGCTATCAACGGTTAGCACTCACACATTAAATGCTAATTTTAGCGTCAACGGCATCACATGGCGTTTGAAAAGATAAGATCTCATTATTTTATTCGTGTGATCCTTATGTGTTTTCTCGACCCATGGTCCCAAAACAATAATTTTTTAATAATTATTGTAACACTTATAAATCCCTATAACAGATTGAAATTACTAAAAGTCATACATTTCGCTTCACAAGCTGATGGTAAAAAATATCCATTTTCGTTAGCCCACGTGTGAAATGTATTATTTGGTCACATGTACCTCGTTGAACTCTTTGATTATTAATGGTTTGAATTGACGGTATGCAAAACTATAGTAAACAAGAGAAATCCTTACAAGCATTATGTAAAAGACAAAAAAAATCTTTGGTTTTCTGTTAAATTCGATATAAAATACGGCGAGAAATTCAGTGCACGTCAAAGATAGCAAAATAATCAAAGAAACTGATGAATAAAATGAAAATATAAAATATAGTAGATGTGTGAATGAGTAAGAGAGAAAGTCAGTCTTACTGACTCTCCGCTCATCCATTACTCTGTTAAAATCAATACATGTGTACCTGAGTTTGGTGGATTAAATGATACAATAAAGTTTACCGAACACAACAATTTTGATTTCAAAACTTCTTTAATATTATCAAAATAAAAGTCGTTTCGAACGTATGTAACTTAATAATCTGAAAAGTATTTTTTTTTTTTTATTCTTTATGTGCGAACACACTATTCGCTCTCATAAAATACTTAAGTTGATTTTAATAATTTAAATTATTAAAATGTTTAAATACACAATATCAATTAATGTATATACATTAAAATGTATTCAAATAATACCACATTAACTTGTGTAAATACCCATGCAAAAATAAAATAACTTAGTGTAATTGATATTGTTTAATACGATAACTTGTATACAATCCTAAAGTAATAAAAAATGGTATCGTGTTCATAATCGTTTTTACCGAGTATAATTATGATCACAAACATTTACTGAGAATTTCTCGGTGAATGATTACAAAAAACTTTTGAGCTACAATTTCAACAAATCAAGAAACCAGAAAATAATGTCTGTTAGAAATTGTTTTACCGATATAAGAGTATGCATATAATTTAATAATAGTCAATAGTTATTAGTCATACTAATAAAAATGTAGAATTATAAATAAACAAATATTAATTAATTATTTTTTTTTAACTTTCATTAACGGAAAATTAAAATTTCTAATTAATTAAAATTATAATACTAATGGAAAATTATTAAAAAATTAAAATACTTATATAATATCTTAGTAAATATTCATTTTAAGAAAATATTAAACTTGTCTACAGTAAAAACTGCGCCTGGTGTATTTAAAACTTCTTTCATTCCTATTTTTTTCACTGTATCTGGTCAATCAGCAAATTAAATATTTTCAAAAATATGTTTAGAATGATTTATAAAATTTGTAGTACAATAAAAATTATTTGTAATTAAAATAAGATCTTTACAAATACATTAATAATAGATATGAATATTAATTTATTGAATGGTTACAAATTGTTTTTTTTATATTGATAATAGTTAATGTTTTTGGAATGTTTAACTGTGGTTAACTTATTCATCAATTTATCACTCAATACGAATAATATCATGTCAGTATTTACAATAAATTAAACATGTACAGAATATATCAGAAATGCTATTTTACATTAGAGTTATTCAAATCAGTGAGTATTTAAGGTAGTTTATTAGACTTATGTAATTTGAAGTTCTTTAGTTATTATTTTTAAAAGGAGTTGTTGTATTTAATGAGATACATCTTCTTGTAACGAATTTAATTAGTTTAATTTAGTTTAATTAAAGACGATTTTTTTTTAACTTTTTAGGTTTAAATAATATTTATATATTTTAATTAATAACATAATAGTCATGTGAAATATTAGACCTGTGAAACATAATAGTTGTTTATAATGGTAATTTATTTATTTTGACCAAAAGTTAATCATTTAGCTCCCATGATAAAAATTTCCATACATATTCTATTGAACACTTATGACACAATTTTTTTAAATGTGTACATCATTTAAAACACTAAATATACTACTATGTTGTTCATAATTTATTTAAATTATCAAAGTGAATTTTATTTCATTATTTTAAATAATTATAACTTTATCATTATATTAGTATCCATAGTTTTATCATTATAAAAAGAACATTCACATAACTTATATAACAGCTAGGAAACATAATCATAGCCGTTAAATACATTAAAAAATAAAAAAAAAAATTATTAAAAATGTATATTTAATTTTAAATATATTATAAGAATCGATCACTTGTGGCTAATATTTTTAAACTAAAATAAATTATTATCATTATTATAATTATTTTTTTATTCTTTTTGAATTTACGAGGTTACACATTGCAATTAATATATAGATAATGCTTATAAATAATTGTTTAAATTGTCTATTTGAAATATAAATAAAAGCAACGGTAAGATAACTTTATGTTAATACTCAAAGGATAATTATAAATAGGCGAATCACTATTTTTTAATTCATTTTAATTTATCTTAAACTAATTACTTTGCAATTTAACTAAATAGTTTTCAAAGTAAAGTTTTGTGGACTAATTGATGTCATTATATTAAAATTTGTTGAAATCTGATAAATTTTTTATAATCTGTCTCTGAATTATACTTCACTATTGGCTAACAGCCATGTATACATAATTTTTGTACACATCTGTTTGTTATAATCTCTTAAACGTTATACCTAAGTCATTCAAAGTTAACACATATACTCTGGATGATCTTATAAGAGTTATTACTAAAGCATATATAATTAAAAGTTTTATCGTCATTATAATAGCAAAAATATTTATTTTGTAGTATTCATGTGTGAAATTTGAAACATTTGATACTAGTTACCTTAATT